CACCAAATGCGCAGGGGACGCACCAAATGCGTTAAGTGGTTTTTAATAAAGTTTACACTTATGTATATCCTAGCTTCGGCCTTGCGAATTGCCAAGGGATTAATTCCTTCCCCTGACAATCTGTGGTTGCGATTGACAAATTAAGCAACCTTTTGCATGTTTTGCATGTATATTAATACAAGTATAATATGCTGTCTAAACAACATTTTGTATGTGGGAAAGAGTCATTATTACAGCTTTCATATCAAGCTGGATGCCTTTGAACATAACGTTTGCCTTTAAAATCCTTTTAAAATCTAAAGATCTCTCCTTTTCGAAATGCAACCAATGAAGGGGGGAAAATTAAGTAGCGAGAATTTTAAAGATCAGACTCTTAAATGGTAAGACTGTATTAAATGGTGCACTTGTATTGCCGCATTGCTATATTATAATAGCCCAGAGAGATCCGAATATTAATACTGTCCAATCTGCACACATTTAATTTATTTATTTTTCTACGATAAACAAGTAATCTTAAAGATAATAGCATGTTTTATGTACATAGTTGCCATTCAGAATGCATGAGTTCTTACTTTGTGCTAATACAAACACCCTTGGGAGTAAATATATTAGTATGACATTTAAATAGGACTTTATTTATTTTTCTATGATAAACAAGTAATCTTAAAGATAATAGCAGGTTTTATGTAATTGCCATGCAGAATGCCGAGTTCTTGCTTTGCGCTAATACAAACACCCTTGGGAGCAAATATATTAGTATGACATTTAAATACACTGTAGTGCAAGTCACTCCAGTTCCAGGTGTTTCTAAGGTAAGACCCGCTCTGGCACATTTATTAGGTGTCACGATATCTGCTTAGGGTTCCTTTGAAGGGCTTACATCGGATTATGGGGCACATACGCACCAGTGTCAACAACTCAATTCGATGGGTGGAAAAAACAGCCAAATGAGTCGGCTAATTTGTATTGATTTTTTATCGGGCAGCCAACTCCCTTTTTTCTTGCCCCCCATACATTTGCAGCTCTATGTTGCCGGTGCGTGTTTCTGTTTGTTTTGAACTTTCCCATGCATAAATTTTGCATATTAATTGAGCGACTGTCATCAATATGTCTGTGCGCAGCCCGGAACCCGCCCATTGACCATTCCCTGCTCCATCATCACAGCATGGCATCATTAGTTGGCCTAAAAAATCCCATCAGGCTTTGATTAACATTTTGTGCACACAAATGGCGGCCAAATGCAAGAGCGTCTAAATGAGTTGCATCTAATTGAGTGACAAACACGCCACGAACAACGCAACACCACCGATACACCAGACCCAGAACCAGAACCAGACCCAGACTCAGACCGAACCGAACCGAACCGACCGGCCACCTCTCACAAACTGTGCCAATTTGTTTTAAAATGCATCATCCCGGCGCTCAATCAGTTCTGTTCGCTCCGGCCCGGAACTTATCCCACCCCAGAATCCCATGTCCAGTGCCTGCTCTCGACTGTTTTTCAATTTGCATGCAAGCGTAAATTACTCTCGGCTCGATTCCCCTAACCCCTTCCTTGAACACCGCCCCTTCCTCACACGGATTCCACCCGCTGGTCGGTTAAAAGGTTTGTCCTTTGGTTACGTTCTATATGCAGATTGCCATTGCTTTCGAGGACTGCTCCGTTCTTGCTCCTCCTTTTTGGCGTGCCTGTCGGAATCTGGTGCCTGGCTGCTTTAAATAACCCTGCGTATCTTGGTTATGAACATAAAACACGTTTTTGGCACCCCATTTGTCATTAAGCTACCAATTTGCTCGGCTTCAAAAACATCTCAAATTTCTCACCGACTGGGCGAGAGGGAGGGGATGAAAATTAGCAAAGCTAAGACCCCAAAGAAGAAAGATCAAAAAGCAAGCGACGCGGACGAGGACGAGGATGGCGATTCTTTCTCGATGACTGCCCAAAAATGGGAAATACACAAATCTTAAAGACGGCATTTTAAAATTGTTAATTGCGTTTAAATTAAAATGTTTCGTAATTTTATTTCGTAATCATTCAATTATTATAATGTACTTTAGCCTCTTTAAATATTTGAATATTTTTGCAAAAAGTAACCAATATCTTGGTTTTATATAAAAATCAGATTGTTCCTACTTAATGCTCTTTTTTCGTGCAATGCAACCCTCCAGTTGTTTTAGTTAAGTATGTTGTAATCAGAATTGTTTCACATGAACTCCAAAAATTCCCCCATTAATCTTGTAAGGCAACTTGAACCATTTCACGGAAGCAGTTTTGACTTCACCCGATCTGTTCGGAGGAAATGCCAACTGACAGCGGTGGATATACATTTGCGATATGGGCGCCAGACTTGTGTACGATTCGCATGCCTAAGCAACTCGAGCGGCTACCAAGTTAAGCCGGAGGGAAATGTTGAGACACAGTGATGGTTTTATGGTTATAATCTAAAATTGTGACATTTTTGATAAATAGGATTTTTATTCTAACATAAATCGCAAAGTGCTTGGACTCGTCGCTTCTCATTTTAAAATGAATTAGTTTATCCCTAAAAGTAACGTACTCGAACTGGAAGTAATTTTTTTCGGTGCACCTGTCTACCCACTACCGCAAACTAAGCCGAAAGACCTCCTTCCAAGTCGCTAACAATGTACAACAACTTGTAGAATGGCCATAACAATTATAAAACACGAACACGAGTCGCTTGTGGGGAATTGCATTGGCAATGCGAGGGGAAGTGGGGAAAGGAGTCTGCGGAGACAGACTGCGGTTGGCAACTTGGATTACCTTTATCTGGCTGCCGGGTCATCCGGAGAATTCTGCGCCGCGCACTTGGCAGCATTCCCCGATGTCGTCGGTGTGTCGTGAATCTTTAGTGCGGCTTTCGAGGTGACAACTGCGACAGCTAAACGTCAATTTGTATAAATGTTTGCAATTGCTACTGATGCGTCGGTTGCGGTGGAGGTGTAGTTGTTAAAAATAAAACACTCTGAATAAATGCTGATGACCAATGCGGGGGAAAAGAGTATCTGCCATATTGAGAGAGTGACACAGGAAGCAAGAGAGCAGATCATAAATAAATATTTGCCGGTTCCTTAGCAATTTGCATTTTCTGTGGTCCTCCAAGTGTTTGTTGTTTGCCGTTCTGGCCCAACCTCGTTGGCGTTTTTTGAGAGCGCAAAACGAGTTTCGATTCGGATGCGTATCCGCGAGATACTCTTCTCGCGCCGCTCTTTGTCAATTGATTTATGAGATTGCATCTGCAGATGCCTTCAGCCAAGCTCTTTCGACACTCCGCCATTAAGTTGGCTAAAACTCGTGCGACCCAAGGTATAAATATGCAGAAAATTCTCCTTTAGAGCTTTGTGAACTCTATCGGTGTGCATTCGGCATAAGATCAATTTGTGTAAATATAAAAGGTCCACTGCTCTCCGCTATAGAGATTTCGGTTTCACTTCGGTTGAAATTTAAGTTTTTAAAAATATGTTGCAGTACTGGCAATTATAATTGTATGCCCTGGTATACAAAAATGTTCAGTTTGATGCTGAGGATTATATATAATAAGTAAGTCCTTTTCATTCAATTTAATTTTTTTCTGAGCCCTTAAAAGCTCTCAAAAGTTAAAGTGCATAATTCTTTAAATTGAAGTCTGTTTAACACCTCATTAATTCGAAAATCAAAGTAATAACTTTTGTCATGAAAGCACTAAGTGGCTATTAAAAGGGTGAGTATTATTTAAATATTTTCTGATCGCTGAACAATTCCTTCCACTGCAATTTGTTCACCAATGGGAAACTACCGAAGTACCGAAGGCCCTTTCGCATTTAAATCACTGCCCAGCAACAAAACCGTTTTCGGACCGTTTTCGGGTTCCTTTTTGGGAGTTGCGTGCATTGCCTGGGGGAAGTATCTTTTAATGGAGCAAAATTATCTCCGCCGTACTGAATAAACGATCCTGACTAATATAACGGCTGACGATGAAAGGGGACCTTTCAATGTGATAAATGCGAGTTGGAAATACGCAAATCGGTGCCTCCGAAGGTGGCATAAATATGCGGCGCAGGCCGAAGTCCAGCTGAGTGGTTCGACCTATATCGTTGGCTAGACGCCCAGACCCGATTCGATGCTCCCCATATGTGGCGCTTCTTCTTCTCGCGCCACACGCAAAGAGAACGGAAGAGAGCGCGGCCAGAGTGCAAATTTACGATCGGCACATGCAGGCGGCGACGTCAATGTACGGCAACAAAGTTGCTCCACTCGAGGTTCTCGCAGAGATTCGCAAAAACATAAGCAATTTCAAGAGAGAACCGCATGGAGAGCAAGAGCATGGCTTCGATATTATATGCTGTATATGTTATATATGAGGGAAATGCAGTTTACGCTCTCGCAGACCCGTTTCTCTCCATGACTCTCTGTTGCCCAAGATGCTTTCGCTTGAGTTCTTCACATACCAACGTTATTTCGAGCTTATGAGTTGGGTAAAAATCGTGGGTACCGAAAAACATATACCCTTTTATAGAGAACAAGGCTATATTTGAAAATAATAAGTTATTTTATGTTTAATATATAACTAATAAAATTTATTTTGTTTTCAAATATTTTTTCCCAAAGGTATAATGTTTAAAAATTATTCTATTTGATTTGATTTGATGATATTAAATGATCACTGCTAAGCCCTTAAAAGTATGCAACGCAAATAAAATGCATTAAGTATACGCAGTGAGGCACCTATATTTTTCACCGCAAACATATAGACCACATTTTATACGATACTTATTGATTCTTTTCTTATCCTTCCGTACCAATTCAAGGAAAAGGCTACATCTTAAGTCATAGTGTAAAAATGATGGTTAGAAATCATTATATAGAAATCATTACAAAGAATAAATACTTATAGCACATGAAAATGTAGCACATAATAAATGTATTATTGTATAATAATAATGTAATTTAATACATTCCTTAAAATAATGATTATGGACAAATATATTAATGTGAAGTCCGTATCTGGTAGAAACCAATTTGGTTTTTCTTTGTTGGGCTGTAGTGCATCCAGCAGTCTTGCAGGTCGGATGCTCGCACTCGTTTCTTTTTTCGCGGTGCAGCAACCAGAGTGCAAATACAAATAGCAAGAGCGCTGCGTCGCCAGTCGGTGGGCCCGTCTCTGTGCCAGTAACACATGCTCAGTTTTAGGTCCGCCCGTCGCCTGAAAGTCCGTGTATCCGTCCGCTGGCTCTTGGTCTGGTAGTGGGACTGGTACTGGTTCGAGTATTAGTATCGTGCTCGGAGCTTTAGCTCTGTGGCCGCAACCAGTTTGCTGGCATCGATCGTCCTTTGCAGGTCGTGCATGTCGCGTTGGCGTCTCGCGTGGTCCGCGTTTCGTGTTCCAAATCGCAGTCTCAAACTGAAGTGAACAGAACTGGAGCGGATTCGGGTCCAAAATTCTGTGCGATAGTTTTTTTTGCTAAACAATGTCCGAAAATATCTCCAGAATGCGTTGACCTACAGGAAACCAAACCGAATCGCGAGTGCCATGCTAAACAAAGTCGCTTGCAGCTACAGCTTTTACGGTTTAAGATAACAAATCAATAAATAAAATAAATAAATTTTTACCGGCTCCACACTCTCACTCTCGGTCCACGAAGCACTCCCGACCTCCACGATCACAGTCGATCGTACTCCCCGTATCTCATCAAGTGCTCCGAGTGCTAGTGCTATTTTCTCTCACTTTGCTTGCATAACCAAGAGCAAAACATATTGCGCGAAGGCAGGTCGCAGATGCAGATACAGATACAGATACTGCTAGTAGTATAGTAGTGGATCCGGAGAAACTTAGCGATTGCATGCAGTTGGCATTGTACCCGGTAAGTGAACGATGAGTTATGAGCGCTGCGGCCAAAAGTGCCACCACCACCACCAACACCACTACCAACTACCACTACCACTCCGCTCCGTTTTGCCACCTTTTTGCCCGGCATTTGGGGGCGTTGCAAACTGCCTTGTAATTGCCTGACATAAATGCTCGTGTGTACAAGGCTTAATGGCGATAGCAGCAGGTACGCTCAGCGATTGCCATCTACAACTGGCGGTATGACTGCTGGATCGGGGGAACCAGGGGCTGCGAGTGCCCAGTTCAGGCCATTGTCTGACTTCCAAATTGAACAGGAAACGAGCAACAGGTCGTGTTTCACAACCGTACTCTAAGCCTCCCGCAAATCTCCATAAGGTTCAAAGATTGGGATAGCCTAGGCCATTGCCATTGCCTTTTGTGATCGGTTAGCCTAGATGGGTGCTTATAAGGCAAATTGGACCGAAATCTGAATGGTTATGAGTAAAATGCAAATGGCTAATACGGAAACCGACTTGCTAAAGACGACAAGAACATGCTGCATATTCTTATTCAAATTAAAGATCAAGCGAATCTGGTTCTTGTCACTAGTTAAGCTTACCATTGACTATCCACTAGTGCTATAATTATGAAAAACTGATCTTTGTATCTTACAAATACAATTCAGAACTTAAATTTTTGCCACTGCCCTATATATACAGCGCGAAAGGACAGTTAACAGTTTATTAATATATTGTATATTGGTGGTAATAATTTATGTATTTTAATTAATGTTCTATAGTTATACCCGTAACAGGCAGAAGGAAGCGTTTCCGACCATATAAAGTATATATATTCAGGATGGCCATGTCCGTTTGTCCGTCTGTCCGTATGAACGCCTTTATCAGGAACTACAAAAGAATGCAGCTTCCAGAGTCAGAAGCGCAGCGCAAGTTAGCTTTCAATGTTGCCACGCCCACGGCCACACTTTTGAAAAATTATGTGATATTTTACATTTTTTTTTTTTGCTACGCCCACAAACCGCTCAAATCTGTCACGCCCACGCTATTCAAAACATTTTAATTTTTTTTTGTAATTTTATTAATTTTTCCCCCAATTTTTACCGATATTCAGAAAAATTTCTCGTTCGCACGTATATTAGCTGAGTAACGGGTATCTGATAGTCGGGGACCTGGACTATAGCATTCTCTCTTTTTTTTTTACAAGCAATGATGGCAAATGATGTCATTGACCTTGCTGGCCTTGCTGACCTTTAAATTTAAATGTTTAAAACAAATTTATATATATATATACTGCATCTTGCTTACTTACAGAACTGGGTAGATCGACTAGACCAGTGCTTATGAACAAGAATAATTAGGAATTTAGTATGCGGTTTGACTCTTCGGCAAACCAGCACGCTATTCCCTTATGAATTAACTTAACTTTCTAGTAAATTATTAGAACTTATAAGCATGACGAATATTTTTCTCTAAAAGATATCTAAGCTCGGTTCCCTTTTGCAAGAATGTATGTAAATATAAATATCTGATTCCTGTGTAGGTATTTTTCTTAGTGCACATTAATAATGATCACTCAATTTTATAAGCTGCACTCCACTTGCAATTATCATATAAGCGATATATAACACCCAGCTGTGCCCTTGGCCCATTAATAACCTGAAGTGGGTTCTTATCATGATCTCTTCCGCTTTAGACAAATTAATTGAGCATACATGCGCAAGCTGCACATTTTTTATGCTCGCCCGTAATCAATTTAATCCGCTTTTCCTTTGGCAACTGCGGAGCTGTTTCCCTAGATACTTGTCATTATTCCCCCAAACCATTCTCAAGTATTGGAAACTGATAGCCCCCAGGCTTTTTCTCTTAAAGTGTCTCTTTGGAGGAATTATTTCTCTCCACGTCTCTCAGCACATACAAATTAGAGGCGACATGCAAGATAAGCAATCTTGTGCAGTTTTTAAACACAGAGGCAAAATAACAACATTTTGCCGTGGCTAGCGGGAGGCGGGGGAAGAAAGGGGCGGGTATCTGGTGCTAGCACGAATGTGAGACCTGTTATCAGCACATCGTTCATGCTCAATTTACCCTTCATTTAAATACAGGGTATTAACTCTTTAGACTCCGAAATTAAGTCATTACCGCAAACCAAAATTGAGACAGACAAACACTAACACCTCATGTCACCTAGCTAATCTTCATCGCTAGGAGCTTTCGCCTTATCTTTTGCTTATTGTGTTCTAATCAACCGTCAAACATTTTCAGGGTGAATCTGTATGCTTAGGAGAGTTCATTGAGTCACCCAAATGGAAAACTAAGTGCAAATTAGATTAAACACGAATCACACACGCCAGCAGGTGCGAAAATGTGGTGTAGGAGAATCGTATATTCCCTATCTGAGTCTAAAGCACATGGAAGCAAAGTATTCAAAGAAATCAAATGTGTAGAGAGTCTTATATTCTTTTCCTTAATGCAAAGAAAATAAATATATACATATGTATGTATGTGCTCTGTCTTTGATTTTCTATTCAACTACAAATGAATGGTAAATTATACATATGGATAAATATTAACAACATTCCTCATATATGAAATATTTGATTTTAATAATATATGTATGTGTACATAAATATAAATATATTTAATGTTTTCCAAGTTCGTATAAAATACGTTACAGTTGTAATATTATTGATAAATAAGTAAAGTTTTTTTAATTTCTATAGTATAGGGGACCATTTATCAACCCACTTATAGGCCTTTTATATTTATCGCGGTAAAAATACTTTGCCAAAATCTCAGTTTAAACAGTTTTCCTCTGAAAAAATTCTTAGGTTCACGATTCTCCATTAATTAATAATACATTTTGATATGTATCTAAAAATCATTTTTCATCATACATATGTATGTATGTATGTATGTATGTATGTATGTATATAATATATGTACATATTAACATACGTATGCACATACAAGTTAAAAGAGTAAAAGAAATTCCATTAAAGGCACTATTATTTCCAACCTAGTTAGATAAGAATTATATATACCATATTTCAATGCCATACCTCTGAAACACCTATTACCAATGTCCACTTAAGTCCGTTTCATCGTGTGTAGTTCTTATCGACTGTATGGAAATATTGGGGCTCCTTTGTTAGGTAGTTGCACAAGCCTCTGAAATACCATAATACCCTAGTGCTGTCCACAAATATCCACATCACTCACACGCCCTTTAGAACGAAAAAATAACCAAAACAAATGCGATAAAATTCGCAGCACAAGCGGGCGAGCAGAAATGCAAAAAAGCAATTAAGAGGCGGAAGGCGAAACTAAGACTAAGTCGAGCGCACTGCAACTCGAACCCGGACAAGTTGCGAGGCGACTGCAACCGGCAACACCACACACACTTACACACACAGACGCACACAATTGCAGCGAGAGCGGCAATACCAACGAATCGACAACAACAACGCCAGCCAATGTGTGTGAGGCTGCCTATGTACTAGTCCGTCCGTATGTCTGCGCGAATGTGTGTGTGCTTGCTGCATGTGCCAGTGCGATGTTGTATTTGTATTGGTGTGCAGCCCCCACTTTTCTCCAACTGCACGCAACATCGACGCTGCACAGTGGAACCAAAACATGGGGCTTTATTCGCAAATATTCAACCCATATATTGAAAAAGCAAAATCCACTTTTTGTGAAAATAGTTAATTTTTAATTTTTTATTGTTATTGTATTTCGAAGGTGCAGTGTCGGCTTTGGTTTCCAACGCTAGGTGCTCAAGAATTTGTTGTATCCATGTCAAACTTAAAAGATGATTAAAAGATCATTCTGTAGATTTAATTGAATCAAATGATTTTTGAAAACTGGCACCACAAGAAATGAATTGCTCCACTTTGGTACTTTTGATACTTCCTTGATTTTTTGATGAAGCCATTTTAGTTCAATGAATATAATAAATACAATTGGAAGCCCAGCGTTACTCAGCTTTAAACAGCCCATCCTCGCAGGATTATCAAGGACTTTCGGCCCACTGTGGCTCAGTTTGGGTGCGCTGCTCTTGCTCTCTCGATGCGATTTTCGGTTCCGTTTCGTTGGCGGTGCCCGCTGCCACGCAAACACAGGCAAACATCGCACACACCAACCTACTGGCCCACACACACTCGCACATCCGCGGTCCGGGCACCAATACTGACGCATTCGCTCGGCGCTTTTGAGTTCTTTGCATCCGCGTCTTGCGGCCCAATGTGAGTTGCCTTGTGCATGCCAAAGATTTCAGATCGGTCAGCAGCAGCAGACGCCAAAAGCTCGGCTCGCGACTCGCGGAACGTTTTTGAAAAGTTGTGTGGATTAAGAGAGCAGATTTGGCTTTCATAGGGCCCTACGAATATTGATTTTTGCACGTTGCTATCGGTGCTGAATCAGTTGCTTAATTGGACTACAATCGGATTCTTCAGTAGCGCGTTTTACCGGCGGCATTGCAAGTCAGTTGAGATCGTGCAACACTTTTTGTGTGATTTTTTGTTTGTTGTGTGCCGACTATTAATTGATATTTTTAAAACATACAGCTGAAAGTGACTGTATAATTGGAGTTGTGGAATGCAAGTGTTATGTGTGAAAATCTACAAAAGCTAAAGATACCATTTATTATACTAAACCATCAAAAGTAATCCGGAATATTCTTACCCATAACATAAAAACCTTCAAAGTATATAAAATCAACTTTAAATATATATTTGTTTATAATATACAACGTATTTTCAAATATTATTAAACGAATTTTTGAAACTTAAATATAAAGTCTTTGAAACTACACGATAGACAGGTAAACTTAATATTTAATATTAAAGTTACAATTTACGCTATTTTAAATGATCAAATGATCCTAAAAAAATATAAAGAAATAATTGTAAATCAAAATAACTGCAATAAATCCAAGTATAATATTAATACTTTTTTTTTTATTTCTAAAAAATATCATTTACTAATTTTCAATATGAGAAATGTATTTGAATAAAGAATTCGAAAAAAGAATATAACAATTCCAAATAGAGGAAAAATATAATATATCATGCGTTTATTTAGCAAATTTTGGCTGTAAATTTACACCAACTTTTCCAAATTATATATGCTTTCCATATTAACTTTTGCTCATAGTTATTATATATAATTTTACGATTCATAATTAACCGTATTACGTAAATGTATTTGAGGAATTTTTAACACAATTCTCAAACGAAAAATAAGCTTTGAAAATTAATGTCTAGCCATTTCAAAGAGTCAAAAGTCGACCATAATTCCAGTACGTCCCATTAACTATTTGCGCATCCATTTGGTCTGTTTGAGACAGTATTACATGACACCGGGACAAATTCACTCCTCTATCAATACAATGTATCTACGTGTTTGACTCCGCCTTCGAGTTGTTTCTGAAATCCAATACGAGTCTAAGCTATGTGTTCCTATGTACAGGGGCGTGGTTGATCGAATCTAAATCATTTTCCATGCTTTATTGCCTTATAACATGCGATATTCGATGGCCAATAAAAACGGAGTTTTAACATCTGGTCTTGTGTTTTTTGCAAACTTTTTCTATCGTTAACAACACAAATGTAAATTTTTTCCCACTGCTAGCCAAGCATGCAAAAAAAAGGCTGAACTAAATTTCTCAATCGTTAATAAATATTTGTGACTATTGTTTAGAGTAGATACATATGTAGATGCATTGGAAGTGCATCAGCTGAATAAAAGTGGAGTGGATGGATGTATCTTGTGCTAACCCGAAGTTTTAACTTTCTCTTTTCAGGTGCTTCTAACATCAAAATAATAGAAAAGCTGCAAAAATTTAAAAGTGAGACCTAAAGTCTAAATATTTCCCAATACTCTTCAGACTTACCTAATACCTAAACTTACCAATAATTCATGCACGATTATATTGCAATACTACTACATAATCTTTAATAACGTAAGTCAAATTGAAATAAAATTAAATAATTTGAAGACCCAGTGAATTAAACAGCAAAAGACAGATAATAGCCACAGAAAATGCTTATAAAAATAGCCTAAAGCACGGTAAAATAAACTTAGACGCTAGAACATTTACATAGGATATCAGAAGCTGGAAACATGGTTTCGGAGGAGAACTGGAATAGCGACACGATGTCCGACTCGGACATGATCGACTCAAAGAACGACGTCTGTGGAGGAGCCTCCAGTTCCAGCGGCAGCTCGATTTCGCCGAGGACGCCACCCAACTGCGCCCGCTGCCGCAATCATGGCCTAAAGATTACCCTCAAGGGACACAAGCGGTACTGCAAGTTCCGCTACTGCACGTGCGAGAAGTGCCGGCTGACGGCGGACCGCCAGCGGGTGATGGCTCTGCAAACGGCCTTGAGGCGAGCCCAGGCGCAGGACGAGCAGCGGGCGCTGCACATGCACGAGGTGCCGCCTGCCAATCCGGCGGCCACAACTTTGCTGAGTCATCACCATCATGTCGCAGCTCCCGCCCATGTCCACGCCCACCATGTGCATGCCCATCACGCACACGGACACCACTCGCATCACGGACATGTCCTGCACCACCAGCAGGCAGCGGCGGCCGCAGCAGCAGCTCCGTCGGCTCCAGCCTCCCATCTTGGCGGGTCCTCCACGGCCGCCACCAGCCTCCACGGTCACGCCCACGCACACCACGTCCACATGGCAGCCGCTGCAGCCGCCTCGGTGGCTCAACACCAGCACCAAAGCCACCCACACCCACACTCGCACCACCACCACCACCAGAACCACCACCAGCATCCGCATCAGCAACCGGCCACGCAGACCGCCCTGCGATCTCCGCCGCACAGCGACCACGGCGGCAGTGTGGGTCCGGCCAGTAGCAGCTCCGGCGGTGGAGCACCCAGTTCCAGCAATGCGGTAGCGGCCACCTCGAGCAGCGGATCCAGCAGTGGAGGAGGAGGAGGCGGAGGGGGCAGTTCGGGAGGCGGAGCAGCAGGTGGTAGGTCCTCGGGGACATCGGTGATCACTACCGCCGAACATCACATGACCACGGTGCCTACGCCCGCACAATCGCTGGAGGGGTCCTGCGACTCGTCATCGCCCTCGCCGTCGTCCACTTCCGGTGCCGCCATTTTGCCGATCTCAGTTTCCGTCAATCGCAAGAACGGCGCCAATGTGCCCTTGGGTAAGTGACTTCCATTTGCATCCCTATACTTCGAAAATACTTAATAACGAAACGTGCATGGGCTGGACTCAATATCCAATGTGCTTCGTTACAAGTCAAAAAAGTTCAACTTTACCCACCACGATCCCATAAAAAACTATATTTATATCTTCTGAGATCACCCATTACCAACTTTAGTTACTGAGAGCTGTAGCTCTTCGTCCAGTTCATCGAATATCAGATACCCGTTACTTAGGAAGAAGTTTTAGAAAACTTTTGAAATATTTTGAAAATTACCAAAAAGTAAAAACATTTTTGGTAATTACGGGTGTGGTAGTCCAGTTCATCGAATATCAGATACCCGTTACTTAGGAAGAAGTTTTAGAAAACTTTTGAAATATTTTGAAAACGACTAAAAAGTAGAAACATTTTTGGTAATTACGGGTGTGGTAGTCCAGTTCATCGAATATCAGATACCCGTTACTTAGGAAGAAGTTTTAGAAAACTTTCGAAATATTTTGAAAATGACCAACAAGTAAAAACATTTTTGGTAATTACGGGTGTGGTAGTCCAGTTCATCGAATATCAGATACCCGTTACTTAGGAAGTTGTTTTAGAAAACTTTTAAAATATTTTGAAAATGACCAAAAAGTAAAAACATTTTTGGTAATTACGGGTGTGGTAGTTTTTTGCGCTTTGTGAGCATTAGAGTGGGAAGGAAAGAATATCAAAAAGTTTCTAAGAAGTGTGGGCGTGAAAGTCTTGTCTGGTTTGTGGGCGTTAAAGTGGACATGCCTTATCTTAAATTTCTAGCTTTTGAAGTTTCTGATTCAACTTGGAAGCGCGTAAGCAAACACGATGTATCGTGTAACTTCCCTAATCTGCGATCTCTGCAAGTATCTAGCAGTATTTATGGCTCATTTAATAAAGTGCACACGGAAAATTGAAAATAGAAAGCGCAAAGAAAAATTGCCCAGCCTTTTCATCCTGGCCCCGTCCACGAGGAGCAGTAGGCCAAGGAGTGGCCGTGCATCTCGCGCCACTAAATGATTGCCACCTAATTATAGGCCGCAAATGCCGCCGCTGGGAGTCTCGAGGACAGAACCACGACTCCACGCGGCGTCGCGGCACGTACCATAGGCATCTGGGGCAGAGACGCCGTCGACAGAAGGCCTAATCAACTTGTAGTTGTTCTCGGGATCCAGACTAGAAAATAACAAAGGCAGCCAGCGGGTTTGACAATTGCGAAAGGAGTCGACATAAAGATACCTATTGCGCATACGTTTATAGTTTATTGAGACTTGGAGATAAAATGTTAACTTAGCTAAAGCGTTCTGAAAATATCCCTGAGAACATCCCTAAAAGGCAAGGGTATGTTAGGCATACAGTGTTGGTCCGTGGAGTATGTCTACGCAAATTAACATGGTTTAGATGTTTAATTTGAAAAATAAATTAATCGCTCTGAACAATGTTACAGTCTGTATGACATAGAATCATCAGAACAAGCCCTGTACAAGCCAACAAGATGAAAATGCCCGGATGAACAGGCATTGTGGCGTCGGTGACGGCCCAGAACAAAATCAATTAGCATGGATACACTGGCTGCCAACAGTTGACACCTGAAGGCTTCAGTGCCGCCTTTTCTTTATAAAGCGATTTGATTGCCCATCTAGAAGCTTAAAGGCTTATTTATGCGTGGGAAAAATACTCTCCTACTTTGTCATGTTCGCTCTACTTTTGCATTAGGCTTTTCAGGTACTTTTAAAACATTAACTCACTAAAAAAGTCATTATTTAGATTTAAAAATAGGCAAGCTTTTAACATAAGCTCTGAATATAAAGTTGATAACAGCTATTTGCTAAAACTTTTGCACATTGATTATTAAAGCAATGCAAACTTGTTATTTAACAATCAAAACTATATTCAAGTGCATAACATTTTAAAACAAGACAAATTGAATTCCATTGATCTTAAGTTAAGCTTTCAAGGAGTATCTTTCAGATACCGACACCATGAGAGTAGTACTTTTAGAGTCCCTACTCTATCAGTCAATCTAAAGCTTTAATCTTACAGACACGCATAAATGAAGAAAAATTGCCCTTTATGAATAATTCGCAGTATTAAGTGAGCTATTATTACCCGATCCTTGGGACTAGCATTTATGATCGACGTTCCCAAGAACTTATCTTAGGGCCACAGATATAAAAGCTCATTAGCAGCTGGATTCCGACTCCGTCTGGGGGTGTGGATTCGCCGAATCCGCCGAATCAGGTGCAATGAGGGCCATCCAACGCTCGGCTGACCACGTTCCCTAATTGCACCTCGGCACACAACGTGGCATACAAATGCAGCACAATCTACGACTACGGACAATTACAAGACGGTCTGTCAAGCCAATCCAACACGACCATCCATCAAAGAGCTAAGCATGAAGCTTCTTCACAGTTGCATTTTCCACTCGCCGATGTCTTCTTTATGCATATTATCATTATCGACGCGTAATAGCAGCCAGACATGGATCAGACATTACGGCGGTCGTTTAGCAGAAGTGCAGACAATACAAACCGACGTCTGTCAACTGGAGGCAGTTCGTCAATCAATTGGACACCGCTCCACCTCCTCTGCCAGTTCCTCCAGCTCCTCCAGCTCCTCGAGCTCCTCTGATGTCTCTGGCAGCCAAGTAGCCAGGTTGTGGCCCCGATGTCTACAAACATGTAAACCCAAACGTAATCTCGATCGCCGGCACGGAGCTAACTAACCCGTCTTCAAACAGGAACCGAGATCGGGTTTCTTGCTGGCCATGGCAACTTTGTTGCAAGTTTTCCTAATCCCCCAAAACAAGTCGGACGGCTCATTAGTTTGGCCTGCTGCCCACACTGGCGCTGCCCGACTCCGGATTTAGTCAAGCCGTCTGCGAGGCACCTCCATCCGCGAGGTTAAGCACTTGGCACTTTTCCTTGGGTATCCTGCTCCTCCAGCAGTTGTTCCTGCTGCAGGGGTATCATTTTGCCATTAAATCCGATGGCCATCATACTCCACCGATAATGGCTGAGTTCCAATATTCTAGAACAATTTATTGCCCTAGTATCCGTTGGATACTGGGCCTTTCCTGTACTCAAGATAATTTCCAAAACATAAGGTTATGGCCAGTGTAATGCGATTAGTGCTTTTTAAACATCTGGTTGAACACGCAATTGATTTGGAGTAGATCACCAGCCAGCAGAAGATTGGGCGGTAACTTTAATAGAAAGTACAACATTCTAAATTTCGACTTGGCTAGTAATTCAACAACAAACATAATCGCAATAAATTGTGTAGTTCTAGATTAATCAAAAGTTATATATAAACGACCAGAAAAGTGCCGCCAAATTAATTAAATTAAATGTTATTTGAATACTGATAGTACGTTATTTGGCAAACCTGTGTTGATTTCATTTTGTTAATTTCTGCTCATTTTGCAAAATGCACTAATGCACTTAACATTTATTCAATAAATATAATTTAACGAAATAAAAGCAGCCATGGTAGTAACTGTAGAAGAAACATAAAATTCAAAACAACTTCGAATCGATGAGAGTCATGCATGTGTAGCGTGCTCAGAAAGTCAAGGTGGCCGTGACCCGCAATCGATAAACTTCGACTTCAGTTAATTAATTTAATGGGTTGTGCTAATTTTGGGCCCTTAAGACAGGCAGCGCCTCCTGGCCAGGCCCAAAAGACCTGGTGCCAGACCAAAAGATCTCCCAGTTGTCTGTCTAGAACATTTAGTGCCGCCAATTCGACTGAAAAACCCCTGGCAGAAACAAAAACTTTGCTGCGCTCGTAAAATGAAGTTGTAAAATGTATTTTTGGTATATTTTGCGGGCTCATACATTCTGGCCGATTTTGTTTTCGATTTCGTTTCAAATGGCTCGTTTGCCGGCTTCCAGCTGGAGAGCGTAGTTTGCATTTTATTATTTCCCATATTTGAGAAATGAGCTCGGGAGCAGCGCCTGGCAGCTTTGACAGGTCATTTGGATGGATAATTTACGAGATTTCCAGTTAATATGTTGGCATTACTGTTAATACTCTTCGTCGGTTGGCGAACTTTGTTCGCGATGGCCGGCGGTCTTTGCCAAGTCGGGATTATATCCGCCCGAAATGGGGCTTAATTATACGGCCAGAATCTATCCAGGAGCAGACCACAAAAATACTTTTCCGCACGAACAATAAAAATATGGTTTTCTCTTCTCGCAATTAAACCCGTTTTTACGAGCAGAAAATTAGTGTAGTCGCAGTTTGCGAACTGGTCTCTGAACAGTCTAGAGTGGCTCTAAGCACGCGGCAGCTGCAGGGGATAAAGGCATAGGGCTAATAAGCTCAGGCATTCCTTGTTGGCGATATTTACAACCTGCCAAAGTCATTTGCATCGGAATACAGGCATAATCAGCTCCCATCCAGAAGGCAACAATTAGAGGGCTCTCAACGAAGCCCAGCCCACTTTTTTAAGCCAGGTTCTAAGCCCCGAAGTATTCAATTGAGGTGCATCCTCGAAATGCGGGCCATTAAGTTTCGCACTCTTTTTTTGACAAGTCATAAGCTTGTGGAGCCGTGAAAGCGGTCCACCTAAAAAATAAATGACCCTGTGTGAAGATGCAATGGCTTTTTAAGTGAGTAAAATTATGGGGTACACGTATATTCAACAAAAAAGATACCATACACGCCGAATACACACATTCTCTGTTTTAAGTTACCGTGCGGCATCATTTAAAATTTCAAAGTGTTCAGAACTCAAAAATGGTATTCAACAATATTCTTTCCCTATTTTATTGATTATGGAGTTACTGTTGTGCTTCCACCATTCGACTGTTCTCTCTGTGTATCAATGAAAATATCCCGAGGCTTGACCAAATAAGGCGGCGCGTTTCCCCGCCACAAACGTGAATCAATTCTTGTTTTAAAGGGGGCATTAGCTGTAAGGAAGTCATTAAAAGATCGATCGCATTAAATATTAACACGGGCAAGTGTTGACAAGATCAACA